TTGGCTTGTCGCTAAAAATGTCATACACAAGTATAAGGCTTTGGGTTCTGGTTTAATACTGAACATTCAAAATGAAAAAGAATACATTTGACTCAATAGCATATGTGTCTTTACAAATACAATAAACGTTGATACAGAATCGCTGTAATAAGCTTTCGGTATATGGTGCACTACATTGCGCAATCCAAATAAACGATAACAGCCTAAAAGCAGAACCTACACGGCGCTTATTCGTTGTTATAGCACGTGCATTAAAGATTTCTTAATTAGTTCCAATATAAATTCAATAAAAGATAGGCATTTTATACTGTAATATGTCAATGACAAAGTGACTACATATGATGCAAATATGTTGATTTCAGGAGACAGATGTATTTAAAAAAAATATCACTAAATTATATTAATATACATCTGTCACCGTAACGCCATAAGTTACAGCGTGCCATAATTTTTCGGTATTTCCGGGGTATTTTCATCCTACCATATAAGTAAATGCTCAGAATTCTCTAATAATAAAAACAAACAGTGCTGCAACCAGGGCTTGACCGGACTCAACGCAAAGAAGTTCGCTGATTCTGTTCTAAACGTTTTGGATTTCGGCATTCTCATGATGTATTCTTGGAAGGAAAAGATGTTTAACAATAACTCAGTACGCCGCCGTCGCATCGACCTCCGCTGCGCGTCGGTCGATACTTCCGCTGTAGTGTCTATGTGCATACTTTGATATATTCTCGTAATAACCTCATATTATTGAGACAATGTGCTTGTAATATATTAAAATATTTTAACAACAAATTATGTAAAAATGCACCTCCTGTATAGTTTTGAAAATTTGGAATCTAATGGACTATAATTCTATCAGATATTTAAGTTTTAAACTTCACCTAAAATAATCTTAGAAATACCTTTTTTATTTATTTTTTTATTAACCAATGTTATATTCAGGAACGCTATGTATACCCTATTGTTTTCACTTGTTTTACCGAAGTATCATGCATTGTAAGTACATATTCAGTACATGTTTATTTCTTTGTTGGAACAATACAATATGGCATAACGGGAACCATGGTTAGGCACATTTGCTGAATTCGAATCCCATATTTATATGTCCGTATATGTGCCTGAATATAAAATTGTGTTTAATTTAGCTTAACACGACTAGCTCGGGACATATGTAGGATAGCATGAGATACACCTCTTGAACTATGACGCTATGAGGCATGTGAACATTGTTGTCTTCAAACGACGACGAAACCATATCCCATATATCTAGAAAATGCACTCCAATACCCCCAAACACCCGACGTATCATTCTGTTCATGTCATAGAAAACCCAGTTGGCACTATGTATAGTTTGTTCTATAAATACGTTATTATCACGTGGATGCGCAAGTTTAATCACAATTTTTGAAGTGGGACATCTTGACATTAGACGCTGAACAGCCAATTTAGCATGATATATTCTTTCTAAGAACGCTCGGTTTGTGAAAGCACCATAATGAAATGCAAAATTTAAAACAATAACATAGTTTTTTGAAGAGCAATTATTTTGAGAAATCCTATCGAGTAAATCACTCTCTAAAACACCTGTTTTAAATCTAACTACAATATTTCCAGTTCTTGGGTACACGAAATGCATGACAATATCATTGATTGATTTTAGAGCATTTCCTATTTGTTTTATTGTGGAATCACCACAAAGAATGAGTTTTTTATCACCTAGACATATGGCTGCCTGTTGTTTCGTCCACTGCTGACTTCTGCATACCAGAGGCACGAATACAGATCTGTTCTTCCAATAACCATCGCTTAAGGGTACAGGTAAATCCGCAGTACATGGAGCCAGGGCTTCTAGTGATGGCAGTGCCTCTGTTATAATGAGAAATACTATTTTTTTATTTTTTTTTTATTTGTTTATAAGCATTGCATTAAACCACAGTTGATGCGTACTTTACTGTTCACAAATTTAAATAATTACATAGTGTCACATTAGATCATACCTTTTATTCGTAATTTCATCGGCGTACCATTGAGTTGTGGATTTAGAAAGTTTCTGTGGAATTGTAAGAAAAAAATATTTTAACAATGGACATCATGACATTACAGTCTATTCATGCGAGTATAGAAAATTATGTCGGGTGATAATCCCCTGACAATGTCCTCAACTTTATTGCAATCAAATATACATTGAAAATGACGTGTATTTTAAAATGACGTTTGTGTTTTTAAAAAGGACGTGAGTGTTTTAAAATGACGTGTGTGTTTTGAAATGATGTGTGTGCAGTCGTTACCACTGAATACAAATTTCGTGTATAAAAAGAAAAAAACGCGTGGATGAACCTTTTTACGCCTGTGGAGGGCGCAATCATTGAATGATTTTTTTCGTGTGTGTGTTAACAAAAATCGCGTGCATTAACCTATTCACGCCTGTGGAGGCGTCGTTTCAAGTGATAGCCATTTTCGTTTGTGGATTTCCATAACGTCAATAAGGTATGTAAAAAGAAACTTATCCAGCACGAACGTTTTATTAATTCGGTCCTATAAATTTACCGACACTGTGTATACCTCAGAGGCCTGTTGATTTATTACGAATAGACCAGTATCGGTATATTGTTCGACCCCCACGGGACTAGACGTCCATGTATTTATGTGGTTCCAGTATGGTTTTTATTACCTCTGTCAACTCTGCTATTGGTATTTAGTCATCTTGTCTAGCAAGTATATATAATAAAGCTATGATCGGGCAAATGTTTATGACGACACTCATTGTTCTATTAAACACATGATACAGCGAGTTACTATGCATCTACAATTTACAAACAATCTTCTGAATAGAATGTATGCACTGAATTCTCCTGACACATGTGTTTTTCAAGTATAAGTACTGTCATTGCTTGCAACTAGTTCTCTGAAACGACTCGAACAATTTCAATAAAACTGGCTACTATGACAACAAATATCGGGTTGCGGGCACACGTTTTTGTTTTTGAGTAATAAATTGTTGAATCATATCACTTAAATGTGTCCACAACCGGTTCTCCAAAATGACTGGGCCAATATCAATAAAACTTGTTTACATGTCTGTATACCATAACTTGTCCATGGTATATTTTACTTGTCCCACATTTCAGTACGATTTTCACTTCTATTGATCACACAATCATGGGAAACTAGAGAGTGTGTGCACTGATACAATCTGGATAAAATTGCATGTATTGTACGGTGTGTATGTTATATTACAATAAACAAGAAATCAATTAAAGAAAATAATTAAAATAAAATAATTATATGAAAAAATCTATAATCAGATTTGCGGGAATACAAATATTTGAGTGGTTTTATGTTTTCTTGTTATTTTTGAAAATATTTAATCAACCTAAATCCAATGGTTTAACCTGAAAATTTGCTCGGAATATATTTTATGAAGCAGTTTGTAAATATACAGGGAACTGATGGGCACAACAATGACTAACTATGGTAAGCTAAATCAACGTCTTTGCACTTTATCCTATATATGTTTCACGTTCAAGTTGCCATCCGGACATTTTCACCAGCTGAAAAGAATTGCCGATGAAAACAACAGTCGAAAAATTTACGATCACTGCCCTTTAAGACCTGTTTGTCTTTCTATAATAAATAAGAAATCATTCCAGGTTTTGAGAACGATAGTTGCAATGTCGAGAGTTGACGAGTCTTCAATTATGACATCAAAGAAAGCCTATGGACTTTAATTAATCAGGACTATAGACAACTCAAAGTTTCATTAAGACCTGTTGATTGTTTTTTTCCAGATATTATTGGAATAACTCAAAATTGACTAATCGCTATGGAAATATGGTAATACAAATTCCCGACTAGTAAGATCATCTATGTACCACGTCTCATTGAAGTTATTCTTGAAATATTCATGCATAAATACATACAGGGTAACCACAAAGACTCATTTTGTGTGCTTTGCGCAACAGTCAAATGTTGGCCAAGGGTCGGGTTTGAACCCATAGCAATAATCACAGCCTGTAGAACCTCCAACGTCTAAGCTGTTTGGACTTTCATGGAAAATAAACAAATTAAGTGATTACTTCCTCCGTATTGTATGAGCAAATGGCAAAAACATTCAATAGTCTCTTTTGCAATTATTTAAATTAAGTTTGGCTATGAGGTGCCATACTGGAGAGTCCAGCAGTGCTACCAAAAACCTTACCATGTTTCTTGTGACGTAAGTTGGCCATTGTTTGCTTTGGGTTTACAAATATTAAAACCTCACTGTTGTCGGTAAAGATAAAAGGCCATTTATTGAAAAAAAATGACCGAATATTTGTTAAGATGTACTGGGTGAAAATGTGGCTTACTTAATGGCTATATATTGGTTTTAGGTAAATAAGGCTGTGTTCAACCTAACAAATATGAATTACTTTTTTACTGACCTTTGAGTCAAATTATTATTACCAATGTTATGTGCTACACATGTCAAGGACTTATTGTTGCCATGGAAACAACAAGCTGACTTGTATATATTTTGTTTCCTATTTATTGTTTACCTTGTCCGCAATGATAATGTCTGTCCTTGTCGTTGTCACAATTTCTTTGTGACCAATCCAATTCAAGATGGAATGGTAAAATGTTTCAGTGTCAAATTATTCAAAAACAAGCCATTCTAGAATCGATCTTGGTCATACATTATTACAATATCGATATATATATATATATATATATATATATATATGTATGGATTTCGTTCAAACTTGGTTATATATTATGGGACATTACGAGACCTTGGTGCACTTAATTTTGTTTTACTGATCAATTTCAAAATGTTTAACTGGCTAATTATAACCCCATAATTGTAAACCCAATGACCAACTTTGGTAGCACAGGTGTTCAGTATTCAATTGCCCATATTTAAGACCTTGGGAGGGCGCTGTAACAAAATTCCTAATTTTACTTCCGGGTGGATAGATCCGCCATTTTGTTTTTAAAACGCTACCGCGATACTACTCATCATGAAACACTACTGCGTACCTTTATGCTATAACAACTCGTCTAAAAACAGAAATTTGCAGTTTTATCGGATCCTAAGGGATAAAGAAGTGAGGAAAAGATATATTATTGCCGTAAGGAATGATAATTTGAAAGTAGAAGCAGAAAACACCAGGATCTGTAGTGTGCACTTTATAGATGGCAAGAAAGCACACTGGTGTGATGTACCGTCAATTTTTCCTTGGACAAAAGCACAGAGACAAAGAAAACCACAAGCAAACAGAACATATGTAACAAAGCCACAAGCAGTTGAAATTCCACAAGCTACTAATGAAGTTAATACCATCGACACAAGGACATAGACTATAACAAGTATGAGAATGATTCTACAAAATCGACATATAGATTTAAGATTTGTTTTGATTACTTCGGGAAATCTGTTGAACATATTACCTCGGTAACCAGGCAAAAACTCACACAATTGAATCAGTTTTATGGTGATGTGTAGACTAAGACTTGGTTTGTTTGAAACTGATTTGGCAGAGAGATTTGTGATAAGCCAGCCAAGCATTTCAAGGATATTTGACTCTTGGATAAACATGATGTTTTTCGAGTTAAAAGAAATTGATATATGGCCTTCACGTGAACTTGTCAATGAAACTATGCCTGAATGTTTCAAACGAAACTATCCATCCATCAGAGTCATAGTTGATGCAACTGAAATACAGATGGAGAGTCCATCAGCCCCTGATATGCAGTCAGTTACATTCTCAAACTATAAGAGCAGAAATACTGTAAAAGCACTTGTTGGAATTACTTCCAGTGGAGCAGTGTCTTTTGTGTCTGGTCTTTATACAGGTTGGTAATATTTCACTGGATTCAATATTTTTTTTTTAATTAATTGTACACTTATATGTTCTATATATTTGTATAGTAGTTACTTTGTTTGTACCCATGTTTTGCAAGACATACCATACGCCATACTAAATCGATGGCAAATAAATGTACTTTGATTTTGTTAGCTAAAATGTCCTCATTGCTGTGACAATAATACTTCACTGAATAAGTCTAGATATTTTAAATGAATATTGTCTGCCATACACTGACATTCACATTTATTTTATTTTCTGTAGGGTTAATTTCAGATAAAGAACTGACTATTCTGTCAAATTTACCAGACAAACTGGAAAAGAGAGATGCAGTGATGCTGATAAGGGATTTGACATACAAGATCAGCAAGCACCCAGGGGAGCAATTGTGAATATCCCACCATTCATGCAGGGTGGTCAACAAATGTCTGTTCAAGATGTTGTTGCAACCCAGAATAATGCATCGCTTCGTATCCATGTGAAGATTTGCATGGAGAAGATAAAAAACTATCAGATATTTGATAGACCAATTCCAGTGTCAAAATGTGGACTTGCAAACCAAATATTTTATGTATGTGCATTGCTCACTACTTTCTGGCCATATCTAGTGCCTGAAATTGTAAACACACATATAGTATACAAGTAAGATGACCGCTTATTGCAGTAAAATAAACAGTAAATGATGTAATATATAAAACTAGTTTTATTACATGTTACTTCACAAGGTTTATAGTTATTTGAATATTGTATAAAAACATTGCATTCTCTGCATTGAAAGAGTAAATGTAATTCATGTAAATAATTTCAATAACAAATACTTGAAAAAACATGTATTGTGTAAATAATTGGTTTTGTAGTGGTTTAAATTACAAATTGTTTTGTTTGTTAAATTTCCCTGAATCATTTGTATCTGTATAGTTCAGAAAACAATGGTATGCCACATTTCACACGCTCTGTAAATAGTTCTGCGACTACATTGTCCACATAAAATGACTGCAATTTTGGAAATACCATAGTTGTCCATTCTTCTTCATTAAATATTATTCTTTCCACATGTATGTCATTATTTTGAGTGTAAATTACAAAGTCACACCACTGTCTTTTGGTTACAGATAATTGACACTGCACTTGGTAATAGTACATATGGTGACGATGTAATTTCAGCATGTCATTTTTACCTTTTCGTAGTGCAGATGCGGACCCACGTTGAGCTGCGAGTTCTTTAATTGTAAGATTTGACACTAGGCATTTGATCTCAAGGTTTCCTACTGTGGGCTAGCTAGATGGGTCATGAACAGTGCGATCAACACTACCTGTAAGCCATGAATTTTCTGGCATTATTGAAAGCCCAGTCTCCATCACAGGGTGACCATTTTTCTTCATACACTCTACATAAGCCTTTGATGCCTTGGGCTCAAACTCTATACCATGATTGCAGGCCTTTGATATATAGTTTTGTTTGCTGTATCCCATGATTTTTTTTACAAATTATCTGGTAGTGTTGTCTTTTCCGATTGAAAATGGTATCAACAATGGATGCAGTTATTTTACCATGCCTGTGTTTGAACCAATTTTCATTGTCAGACTGACCTCTAGTATCATGTTCTATTTGATCAACTTCTTCATTTGTCAGTCTTTGATTTTTTTCAAAATCAAGACACTTCTTACTAAATTTGACATCTTGGGATAACTTGACAGAGTTTGGTTGATGGCTTGATTCAGGCTGGTTTTCTGTAGGCCTATCTTGTGTTGTTTCTGGTTGAACGTTTGTTTCATAGTGATTACTGAGTATACCTGTGGGGGAATGCAGTTAAAAACCGGACTCCTTGAGCGGGGGTATACAAATGTCAGACACGGAGACAGCAATTCGTCTAAGAAACTAATAAACTAATGGTTTATTCAACAGCGAATGCTGGAACATAGTAACGAGTTACAAACTAAGAAATACATATCGAGAAGCGTGTGTTTCATTCTTATATACCCTTAAATCGAACGTCATAGGAAACATAGCCCACAAAAACAGAGTGAAAAAGGCGGGAAAGCT